TTCAACACAGAAAGAGCGTGGGAAGACAGGTGGTCAATCCGGGGGTAGAAAAAATGTATGGTCAATTGACCAGTGAGGTACGTGGAAAGGAAGCGGATCCAACCACAGCGATTTTTTCTTAATTCCAAGCAATGATTTCTCTATTCAAAATCACGGTTTCGTAAATGAAATATATAGTTTCTCAAATCTAACTCAAAATGGTATAGAATCGACTAGAGAGCACGAAATTGATAGGCTGCCCTGGCCACAGCAGGTCAATTTTATAATGGAGTTTGCAACCGCAGCTTTCGGCTAGCAAAAGCCTGACCAGCAAGAAAATCCCAATCGATTTCAGGCGGGTGTCCAGTTCAGCTGATCTTACGCCCATCGGACAGGATCAAACGTCAGAGGTGCCCAATCGAGCGGGTGCCCACTATCACGATTAGAAGGGTGTGGGTAGTTCGTATACCTCTTCTTAGTTGCTTTAGAATTAGGTTTTTAGCCAACTCCCCTGGGTGAACTGCTAATGTTTCACCGACCTGGTTATAGCCCCGAATATTGGCTTTTTGTCCCCTCCGTTTTGCGGGAAAACATCACCGGTTATAAGTCCAATGTTTGGTAAACCATGAAGAAGTTATCAGTGATGCATGAAGTGTTGCATGGAGAGGTGAGATAAATAGAGGTCTCTGACAATCTGCATTACGATTGAAAACCGCTCCCACGGGTTGGTTGATGTGTTGAACTATGAAAAATGCGACCTTTGTGATCATGTTGGATCGGGACATTCTACTAGAAGAGTCATGTCCGTATTAGGATAATTGGTTCACATTTGCCTTTATTAGGACAGATCTATCCGTTACTTCGCTTGCACATGCACATTGAGTTTATAAACATCGAAGTGTTCAACCAAGTTCACTCCACTGCAAAATGTTTTACATTAAAGATGATTAAAGAGTGTATATTAAAAGATTATGCAAGCCTCAATGCTACAAACAACTCATTTGAACACACCAAAGTTACTAACTGTGAAGAAGCGGACAGTCATATAGGAAACTCACAATTCATCCAATGATTTTGGGCCATCTTTTACCACCACAGTCAAAAGCAGTAGAGCAGACCACTAAAATTCATCTTACCTGAAGCTTCTTCGAAACCCGAGCAGAGACCGCGTTAAGGGGTAAAAGAAGCAATAGGACACCAACTCCAGCCAGTACTGAAGGTCCAAGTTCGCGCCAAAGAAACACGATTGCGACAATTATTTGAAACGGTCCGGACCAAATAATGTTGAGGAAAGGTAAAAGCTGGACAAAATGCTGCGCATCTGAAGATATTAGATTCATAATCTGCCCGGTTGTGGAATCACGACGAGCTGAGTTGCTCAGCCTTAAACTCTGACAGGAAGAAAAAATAAAAACAAAACCGAAAGACTCAGTAGGCGCTTAAACAAAGTTGAAAATTGATTTTATATGCCTGTAGGTCATTTATTAATTAACAAGCGGATCTTTACTGAGTACACCCTCGGGTAAACAACCTTTGACCACTGAATGTTTGCAGTGAAGCGAGGAGGAGGCCGGTATTCGTGGACGAAACCACGTTGATGAGCAACGGCTAGATCATACAACAAAATGGAAAAATCTCCAATAAAGGTCTATTTACGAAAAAGACCCTCAACGGGCTTAAAGTTAGCTGAAAGGTGACAGTTGTCATTTCATCTAGAAGTACCAAAACCGTCCGATAGGGCAATGGCTATATTAAGTGCTTGGGAATAACTAATGCTGAGTTTGTTAAAAGGCAACAGAACGGCAATCGAATGCCTAAAAAAATAAGACAGTAAATCCATGCTCAACAGTTACGGGTCTTCCATTCGTGCATAAGACATTCTCTCGAGAAGTCGTCACTCAATTAAAACGATACAGTTGACACGATGCCAGCTGCTGAGGAATAATCCCAATCGTCCGTGTATTTGGTGCGCTTGATCAGAAAGTCTGTTTTTATCTTATTGATTATTGGCGGACTGTGACCGCTTAGACTTCTGAAGCGCTTTTATTAGGAAAAATTAGTGAGTGATGATGAACATCCACTTCGACACGCAAAACGACAAAAGTTCATAACTGGAATAGCTTGTTCAGAGCGTAAAATATGAACTTTTCGTCGGTAGTAACCTAACAGCACTTCAAACTGTGCTAAACTAATCACTGATTGCTTGAACCCGTCAAACACGTTCGTCTCACGACGCACCACATGTTTTGTAAACGTTTTCGATGCACTTTTCCAAGCGACATGACACATGTTGTCCTTGACCTTCGTTTAGGCATACTTCTTATGCGTCATGTCACGAGGAGTTTCGTTGACTATCTGTTCACCCCACGCCACGCACTTTGCTCTCGCATTCTATCATCCCGACTCACCGTGAAAGTGTTTTTATCTTGTTTTGTTCGTTACATGCCGTGCCCATTTAATAACCCCCGGGGGTGATAGAATGATTACCGTTCACTTGCTTACCATTCCATATTTCTATTATCCTACCTTTTCTTTCCATCGTGGAACTGAGTTAACCTCCGTGCTTAGCTATTTCCGTTTTTAGCTAAGCTACTGTGAATGGTGATCCTTAACACTTGACCATTTCTAAAACTGTAAATTCATTTCATTCTTTTTAGTGATTGCTTGTGAACGTTGCTGTGTGCACATTATTAGCAGCAATGTCACCGGATCACAAGCTATCATCAGTTGACCATCATGTTTAAAAGTCACGTAATGACTTTTCATTCATTCGCATAAGAAACGAATCACGGGAGAACTCACCTTTCGATAGACTGCGCAGGTAATTGCCGTTCGCACATGCATGGCCAAAATGTGCACTACACGGAAGTATCGTTGGAGCAACAATATTTGTACGCATGAGCACAGCAGCATCGCCACTGTGTAAACATAACCATGCCAGAGTGGTTCATCAGAACCTTCTTGAAGAAACTTCAACAATAATCTGGGAATAAAAGATCAAAAGAAAATAGAATCATTATTGCATCCCTACTCGTGCATCTGCTCATTATTCTTGCAACCCGTCTTCATGAGTTCTCTATCATCACTCTGACTCTGCTCTGAACATATCACCCTTTTATCCAAATGGTTGGCTAAAAGACAGTAACCGAAACCGACACATACAAAATCATGGTTAATGGTTGTGAAAAAAGAAATTATCCCCAAACACACACGGTGGTTCTGAATAAACAAACGATGGTTCGTTATGGAGAATGAGCGTTGCTTCATCGATGGAATAAAACTTTACGTCCAGGAAGCAATCAAGATAAATTGTCAAAGTTGCTACCTCGATTTTGTGCTCTATTTGGCAAACCAAATATCACCAGGCTTTTTGGTTACTAAATTCTGCTATCGCATCACTGCAGGAGAACACATCAATGCATATAATAGGTGTTACAAGAGAACTTTTGCAATGCTCAGGAAGTCCGATTTCATGTAAATCATATGTCACACACGTCTGAATCCAGACTCCATATTTTAGCTCGTTTCGGGAAATTTACGTTAAATTGTTCTTAACTCGTAATCTACTAATTATCTCACAGGAGTTCGATGTTAGTTAAGAAATGTTCAAAATACAAAGAATGCACTAACACTTACATTCTGCAAATTGAAAAAAACTGTAATTCTGAATCATTTATTACAATTAGCCTGCAACTCTGGTATGACGTTGATCATGCACTGATGAGGATTCTAAATTGAATCAAAAATCAAACTGATTAGAAAAAGTTGATTCACGAACTTCAATTCTGCCATAAAGTATGATTCTAATGATTTGCTGAAAGTGAATTGTGAAGAAAGCCGAATTATCTCAACTGTTTCCGATATTGCTATCTGCTTTCGAGCGAATAAAGAAACGGACAGATGGAACTGCATACTTTGTGAGATTAGTCATCGCTCGTGATCACTTACTTAAGCAAATTGGGATTCGCAAAGACCAGGATATCGTGACTCAGTTTTAATAGAGAAGACCATAATAACGGACGCCAAAACGTTGCTAGTAAGGCACGCAAGATACCGGATCGCGCAGGTCGTCTCACACAGCACAAGCAACGCACACAATGTCCACATCGCGAACAGCCATCCCGTTTAGACTTGAAGCTTCGATGTCGGCCTCCGCGTATCTCAACCTCTACGTCTTTAAGCACGTCAGTTTCAACCAACTTCTCGGGTGTAGCGGATGTTAAACAAGGTTGTTTTGAGGACTTTAGCTCCGAGTCTGATGTTGCGACTAACCGAGAAACCTGTAATAGTAAACGATAGTCGATGGGGCAACAAATTTTACAATTAGACAGTGAAAAAATTCATACTCCATAAAAACCTAACAGGTTCAGGTTACTCAGTTATGTTTGGAGCGACCACTTGCAAATTCGCCCGTTAGGAAGAAAACCATGTTAGAGTGTGTGGGTTTCTTCAGCAATGGAGGGCTACACAAAGCAACGAATGAGAGAAGGCATCTTAGCCTCTCCACCTCTTAGTTGAATGAACTATCCCAGTTCTTCTGCAAGAAACAGTGATTAAGTGCTCTTAGTTGGCCAATACATATAAATTGCTCCTTTAATTCAGCATTCTACCATACACTGATATATATATATATATATATATATATATATATATATATATATATATGGTGTCTGTGTGTAGTGTAGTTTTTCTTTTTCGATGCATATTAACCCCTTTGAATATTACAGTTGCCAGATTTTGAGCTTAGCGCTACGATATCATTTCACAATTAATTGAACACTAAGCGCGAATGCAGAGAAAACGATGAATGACAGTATAGTTTTGTTTTACAATGCTGAAGGATAATACATTCCATCAAAATTTTGGTAGTGGAACTAGTTCATCAAAAGCAAACATAAGACAAACTGAACGAAAAACAAGTTAAAGTGTGAAAGTCATGAATATGCATACCTGATCCTCAGTGGGTTGCGTTAATATAGAATCACTGCGACTTTCCGACTGGCCTGGACAAAATATAGGTTTGCTCCCGACCCTAATGCGCACCGAACGCCTGGTCGAGGAAGACCTTTGAAGGCCTACGAAACAGAAACATAATGGCATTTTTCATTGGTTTAAAGAGACGGATCTGTACAATGAGAATACTGTGCGTCAATTAATAATCGTTACAAGCCTTAAGGAACACAATCGGTGTCCTATTTCCACAACGTTGAGGTCCGCAGTTGTAGAATGTCCCAACCACTGGGTTATTTTGATAGATGAGCAGAAATGATTATTAGAAACATTAATTCCTATAATTGTTACTGTAATTACCATAGAATAACGTAACAGATTTGCATAATGCATCATTAATTTCCGTAACCAAAGAGCTTAATCAAACCACTAAACATTTTAGGTTTTGTAATATAAAAAAAATGTTCGTTGCTGTTGTTTAGCCAACAAGTCCAAACAATTACAGGATTTTCAAAGCCGAAATTCCCTTTTCAATTAGCCGCGTTCAATGTCCGCACACTATCAAATCGGTCAACAAGCTGCCTTAGCTAGAACTCTTGAAACTTTCAATTCAGCTGTTGCCTCCGAAACACGCATACAAGACCCCACTTCCATTATCTCTCTGCCTTCTCCTGATTCAACCTCACCCTTCGTGTGTCAGACGATTCGGCGTCCGAAGTTCGCGGTGTTGTTGGTGTCGGGATGGCGCTGAACGCTCGCTTCTCTACTGGATTCCAGTCAGTAACCGACTGTGCGCCGTACGTCTCAACGGTTCAGCGCGGGTCAACAGCTACAGAACGAAGCGTCGCTGTCTATTCGTCGTGTCAGTGTATACACCAACCCATTGCAGTACACCTGAAATCAAGGATGAATTCTATAAGGATCTTTCTCGATTAATCTAAAGCGTTCGATCAACAGCTATCGTGGTAGTCGAAGGAGACTTCAATGCTCAAGTGGGATCCCTGGAAGAATCAGAGAGGCTTCCTGGTGGACCACAGTCAACTGGACGGACAACGGCGATCGCCTACTTCAACTTTGTGCCGACCACGCACTGTTCCTGTCAAGCACGAACTTCTCGCACAAGAAACGACACCGCCTTACATGGAAATCGCCAACCTTTTCACAGCGCTAGACCCAAATCGACCACATCGCTATCAGTTACCGCTGGAGGGGATCGATTCAAGACTGCCGCTCTTCCTGGTCAACAGCTGTGGATACGGACCACGCTTTGCTACGAGCCAAATAATCTTTAAGCCTGGAAAACAACCGATAAAAGCCAACGAAAACGGATACCTACGATACAACGTCAGTGATTGCTGCAAACCAGCCTTCGAAGCGGAACGCTCCAATCGCCTGTCAGTGTAACCGCCAGCCAAAGGACTCAATGAACACTAGAAGAAAATCAAGGAAGCTTTGCAAATATCATTTAAGAAACGTCGGACCTCGACGCAGGTTCAAAACACAAACGATGGATCTCATCGACCTCGGTTGCCCTGTTGGACGCCCGCAGAACCCTTCCTCCGGATGCCGCATGACACAGCACGCAAATCCCTCAAACGCCAGCTCATCAAGAGTCTGAGGAATGACCGCGAGAACTGGTGGATAGGAAAATTTAGAGATGGAGAAGGCTGCGGCTATTGTTAATAGTCGCAATGTTTTCCGTCTAATTAGGAATACTGGTCCTAGGAAAATAAGCGTAAGCGAGGTGATCAAGGAATCCAATGGCACACTGATTCTCGTCAAGTCTGACACGGAAATCAGCGGGGGCACGCGGAAACATCGCAGTTCATTTGGGGTCGGTACATACGGTACATACGCCCTTCAGACCAAATCGAGCTGATGATCGCCACCACGACCAGGAATGTGTGGGTGGTTCGTATGCTTCTTCTCAGTTACTTTAGAATTNCCTAGGAAAATAAGCGTAAGCGAGGTGATCAAGGAATCCAATGGCACACTGATTCACGATCAGCAACGCCATCTTGATCGATGGGCTGAACATTTCGAGGCTCAGTTCAACTGGCCCCGTCGGCATCTGAACTATCACCCTCCACCGCGACTGCGCAAATTCTGCCATTCGATGCCAGTCCTCCATCTGGAAATGGAAGTTTCCAGGGAAATAAGCTGTCTCAAAAGGCATAAGGCCCACGGCCCAGACGGGCTCTCCCCCATCCGTTTTTAAGGATGGAGCAAGTGCATGGTTAATGGTTGTACAAACTGAAAACTGAAACTGTTCGTTGTTGAACCGAGGATTGAAGTAAACTGAACAAAACGTCTTTTCGACCGCATACATGAATCATCTTCATTTGGAGTATGCTGCTTATATACGACCAGAAAGCGCAGCTTGGCTGTTATCAGGCTCTATATCTCACCAATACAAGTAGTCTGTCTACCCTTCCAACTTGTCTTGAGTAAACAGTAAGTCCCGATTTCGACTGAGGTATGGAATGGTGTGTAATAAAAAAAAACAGTTGAAGTCAAGTAGTTGTATTCTCGGTCATTAACGGTTTTTAGGACCCCACGTGCGAACCAGTCCACTATCTCCAATTAATGCTCATCTTCACCGTCGCCAGGTTCAACATCACGCTTATTGATGCTTTATGGTGTTCTGATTTTTATGAATTAGTAGCAACGTAGGCGGGAACGGCAGAGTAGACTAGGCTTGGGACTTCAGCTGGCTCTCCGAACGTGAGCAAAACTTATGTGAGCAACGCGAAAGGGCCATCATCACTTTTGCATGTGGGTACTGAACAGTGACCTTGCCAAAGTGAAAAATCTCACAAAAGAGTAATTGAGTAATTAGAAAAAGTCTGAGAAAATGGACGTTCTTTGGACAGTGCTGTTCGGAAAGGGAGTCGGACATGAAAATAATCGGGGCTTTGTTAAAAGTATACCTCTGTGACAGAGCTATTTGGGAATCAATTTGACAAATTCATCAAAGCGTCTTCATGTCTGTAGTTTTGTCATAATCAATCAAACTGGAGTGTTATTACGTTATTATTGGATAAAAATTAAGCTAGTGAACGGTGATATGGATTTCTGAATATGTATCTTGGGGGGTTCCCATCAGTGTGCAAACGTTTAACAACAAAAGAGATGAAAACTTTATTGTGACAATGACTGTTCGTTTACGGATCAAACATAAAGGACGAGAAAGTTAAACAAAAGAGCTTAGTCACGATGTATATTTATAAGTGCACAGAAAAACTCACATTCGATTGGTTTGAGGCGATAGAAGATTTAACGACAAACAAACAGTATAAATATGGTTGTTTGCATTTCATTGTAAGTCGAATTGTCAGAAGAAATGGTTGCAAGTTTACACAGATTAATCCGCATATCATTCATTCTGCACTTCCTCACTTAGGTCAAACTACTGTTTATTGTAACAACATAACATCCACTTTGAGCTTAGAAGCACTCAGCAGAGGGAAGTTCAACACTGATGATAATAAATGGGGCATTTCGCGGTCAACACGGTTGCGGATTGACTGCGCATCATTTTGCATGTGATATTTGAAAGCATGTAAAAACACGATAAAAATGCCTTCCTGCATATGTCGTTGGTTCACAAATAGACAACTATATCCGATTAACCGAATTGCGGCGCTCGGGTGCAAAACCATCCATTGGTTTTATTAGTATAAGAGTGGAAGAATACGCATAACTTACCAAGTATTCCTGTGGGTTTCTTTGCACTTGATTCAGTGGCGTTCGTCTGGTGTGCCAGGTTTTCATCCACAAAGGGAAGTTCATTCTCTGGCACTGATGTCGATTCCTGATGAATCAAACCTTTGCCCTGCTCGTCAGTGCTGTGTGGCTCAGGCTGGTGGTGCTTGGATAACTTCAGGCTTTGGCTATCTTCAGTGATTTGTTCGGTGAGGGTGATGTTTTCTGAATCGCTGTGATCATTTCTCAGACCGTTTCCCTCACTTGCTCGTCGTTTTTTATTAAAATCATTCGTTTTTTCCGCCGTGAGACCGGATATGTACATTTGATGACCATCGATTGGTTTCCCCACTCCCAGTGCACTCTGAGTGGAACGACGACGGTCGGACAGAGATGCTTGATGGAAATTTTCATTTGCACCATTTACTGCGGTATTTAACAAAGACACACGTCGCTTCTCCCTTCAAAATGTGAGGTAAATCGGGAAGACAAGAGCATACATCGGACGAATGAACCAACACAAAATTCGATGTAAGAAGTTGAGCATTTGGGGAGGATTCATTTTTTACAACTGGAATATATATAACCTGAGTTCAGGCTGTTCACTTAACCTTATCTCATGCCCAGCTAGTGGATGGACTGACCTCTGAATCTCGGGTGTCATTCACCTTGTTTCCAAAAAACACAGTCAGAGTATAGTTAGGTCTGGAATTACCCACGGTGTCTGAATTGGTTCACACAACTTTTTGTTCGTACAACTTCAGACAACGATTTACTAATATGCCTGAATCAGAATTTATTTCCGTTCGATGAACCAAACTTTCATTCAGAAGAAATGCACTACAATTTGCAGCAGCCTTCTCATGCATAAGTGCGGAGGCCATCGTTTTGGATTCAGAAGCTGGAACAGTTTGAAAACAAACACTCCATAGTTCACTCCTTTGTCCGCCATCGAATTTACTAATGTTCCCTAAGATTTACCCAGTAACTTACAAAATGACTTGTTTCCTTTTTGCTTTAATTCCGTAATCCTTAGCTGTTTTGACATCATTGTACAGAGTAATAGAGTGAAGCGAACTTCACTGGTCGCTGCCAAACCCATAATGCATACCAGATAAGTGACAATGTGTAAGGAGGACAGGAATTGGGCCTATTTTCAGGGACGGGAAAGGAAAGCGAGCCTCTATGGCCAACACAGAGTACACAGCCCAACTGTGCATACATACTAGTTCAAGCATTCTGGACTGATAAGACAGGACAGCATGATCGCCATTGCTGTCGGTTCGCGGTCATGACCTTCAGTGTCTCCAGTCATGCGGCTACGGAGTCCTTTGGATCCCAACCGGAAGACAAGAGACACCTAATCTACCTAATCGCTCTGTGCATTTCTTCATACTTCGTCTTCACGTCATCTGCTGGCCTCCACGTAGCTTTCTCGAGTCGGAAACAGCCACTGCAAACAAGGCGCACTGCGGTGGGCGACCGTCGGACATACGCAAGACGTGTCCTGACTAACGGAGCCTATTGAGCTCGATTCCATGAGATAGCCAGTTCTCGTTTGGTCTATTCCCAAACACCCGACGACTGACTTCTAGGTTACTAACCCGCTCACTCCATCCCACTCGGACCAGACTACGTAAGCATCGATGGTCGAACACTGCTAAACGACGGGTGTCTTCTACCCGCAAATTCAAGGTCTCGCAACCGTAAAACAGAACTGATAGTACAGTGGGGCAGCATACGCGACTTTTCAACTTTAGTGACACGTCACGTCGCCGCCACAGGTGTTTTAGTCCTGTGAACACTGCTCGAGCCTTGGAAACATGAGCGGTTACGTCCTTCGATGTGCTACCGTCGTCAGTCATACAGCTACCTAAGTACCAGAAGCAGTCAGCTTCAGCCAATTCCTGACCGTCTAGTTTCAGAACAGAAATCGGTGACACCCAGTCTTGTAGCATCACTTTGCACTTTGAAGGTGCAAAGCGTACGCCGAACGGAGCGACAGAACTTGCTCATCTGTCAAGTGCTCTTTGTGCATCCTCCACACATTCGAACAAGCAAACGATGTCGTCAGCGTACTCTAAATTGTAGACCTTTTTCCAGCTGTCCATTCAATACCTACATTTTGGAGACCACTTAGTGTGTTCTCCAGTATTTCGTCCATGACGAAATTGAACAGGAATGGCGAAAGAGGGCACCCGCCACTAGTTAAGAATGGCCTACTCAGACCCTCACGCTACCAGAGGCATGTGAGTAGAGTGAACTCAGTATATTCACATACTTCTGCGGCATTCCTTTGCGAAGGAGTGAACCCATAAGGGATTCACGATCAACTGAGTCGGAGGCTCCTTTTAGGTCAAGGAACACGACAACCGTTGGTCGACAGTGCGTATGGCGTAGTTCGAGGACTTGACGCAGGGTGAAGATTTGTCCGGTCCTGCTGCTTCTTCTTTCTTCGGGGCTTGGATGCAAGAACGAAATTCTCCTGCAGGAGGTTCAGATGACACTACCCATGGAGCCTCAGCTACATCGGGGGAGATAGTCTGGTTAGCGCCTGGTCAGCTGAACTGTTCGTTGAAGTACTCCGCCCACCGATAAAGCCGTTGTTTCCTATTGTGAATAGCTTGCCTACTTTCAGCGCAGATTGTCTCACTAACTGTGGTTCGCCGACCTCCCGTATTGCGTATCAGTTGGAACAGTCTTTGACTACTCCCTGATACAACTGCTACTTCCATTTCACTAGCTATCGTCGCCCACCAGTTCTCACAGTCTTTCTTGAGGCTCCTCGTGAGATGACGTTGTAGATGCTCAATCTGATCCCATTGTTCATCTACATTACCATCCCGCCGAGTATTTAGCTCTTGCCCTAGTTCTGATTCAAAACGGGCATGAACGGTTGGGTCAGATGAGCGATGTTCTGCCAATTGAGTTTGGTGGAGTTTTCTGTGGCCAGTGAACTGCATCAAAACTAACGCATGATCAGATTCAACGCAGGTGGTCCAATAGGATCTGTAGTTTTGTACTGAGCCACGCCAACGGCAACTTACTGCTATGTGGTCGATCTGAGTTAGGGTGCCAGTTGAATTTGAGCTTCACGTTACTGTTCGTTGAGAGCTGTGTCGGAAGTTGGTGCCGGATAGGAACAGATGATGATCTGCGCAGAACTGAAGAAGTCGATCGCCATTATCTATTCGCTGGCAGGGCAGAGCACAAGCAAGCTTCAAGAAAGCTTCCGATGCTCTTAGTTTTCCAACTTGAGTGTGTTAAAATCACCTGAGAGAACAACTTTATCGGAGCTTCGGCTCAATCGAATGAGTTTGGTGAGTTTATTATGAAACTCGTCCTTTTGTGTGTCAGCACTACAGTTGGTCGGAGCATACGCTGAAATGATGAATAAACACCTTTTGGTGTTGCTTCCCTTCTGGACGCTGATAGACCCTTGGAGCCGCATCGCACATAAGGGGCTGTTGACGGGGATCCAATCGAGTAGTGCGGCTTCGACTGTATTATTCAGTACAATGCCCACACCATGCTGGCCTACTGAACGGGCTTCGTCATCACCGGACGTGCGGAGGAAGAACTTCGAAGATAACCCCGGTGCACTTAAGTGGCATATAGTACTAGGATCCTAGATTCGAATCTCCGACACGCAGCAGACATCCATTCCCAAAGAGTCCATTGTACGCGGCAGATATGCATCAGAGTCCTCATGCTGGCATCCTTCCCATAAGTATTTTCACCACACATTTGCATGGTGAAACAAAAGCATCCTTGTTCATGTCCTTTTGGTTGCCTGCATTTGTTTGTTTTACACGGCATTCTGCTTTTTACCCCCAATCCCACTCGTTTCCATTAGACTGTTGCTGGGTTGGTACGTTTTTTTCACAAGCCGAGTCGTTTACTTGACAATCGATGAGGCTAATCAAATTAAAACGATTTCCAAAATATGCTCACCATAGGTCGATTTGGTGATCTCTTAAGAGGTCAGTAACAGTAGTTGTGAGAAATAATATGAAAGGAACTAAATAGGAATAAACAAAACTCATTACATGCTACACATTGGTCATTTAACAGTGGTGGTAGAAGACTGTGAAAATCATAAACAGGGAATTAATTAGTGACGAGCTTAATTTTCCAAGTTCAGAGATGCGACTTACATATAAAGGTTGATCGTTTTCGTAGGAAGCAAATAACGATCGACATTAGGGAAAAACTTCTCAGAAATGGTTTCGGCGCTGTGTTGTTTATCCAGTTGCCACAAGTCTTTTAGTTCCAACGGTGTTCTGTAGCCTTGGATAATTAATCTAAAAAGGAGTTTTACCACAAAAACACGGAAATAACTAGAAATTCTGTTAACCCTAAATTAAAGATATTGACAGACATCGGTTCAATTATGCGTCCAACTTAGACAATAGAGGTAACCCAGGTTTTTTATGCTCATGCTACTATTGCCTTTGGTTTAATAGTAAATTGGGTATCTTTAGGTGGTCACAGGGATGAAATATACAGCTAGCAGTTTACCTGACTGACAAATAACCATTAATTTCAGATAAAACTATTCATCCTGCCATAGATTCAACGGTAAAATGATGAAAGAAATGAATTATTGGGATGAAATGAGTTATTTAACAACTGCGCTCATCAATGTTCAGCATTGCATAGCCTCTTCTATTTTTATCATACACTCAGTTCAGTTTGTACAACCACCAACCACACACCTTCGTGCGGCGGTTTTGTTTGCTGTCTTTTGGCTGCCCATTTGGAGAAAAAAATAGAATATTGAGATGTTGAAGGCAGAGTCGAAGGGAAGATAGAGAATCCATATAGACTGAGGTTGCAAGGATAATGAGTGCCACTGTTTGCGACACGGCCATATCACTCGGTGTTTCCAACCACCGGTTCCCGTGATCTCGAAGTCCCCATCTATGGTTGAATCTCCTGGTTCGGGTTTTCATACCCTAACACTAGGTCTTAGTTTGACCTTTTCCCATCCACTGCTTACCTCGGCAAACATCGCGCTCCGTGGCAATTTATCATGCACCATGGTTCCACAAAACGCAACGTAGTAGGGAGCGGCAAACTAAATTCCGGGACTCTGAGTGACGAAGCAAACACGACCCCAATGAAGTAGATTTGGAACACAGCCGAGAGTCAGCGAAGCCGCCTACTGCCCAAGTAAAACCATACAAGGTTAAGGCAAACAAATTAAATCATTGGCTAATTATCCAGACATGCCAATTTTCGGGATTCTAACTTGGAACCTCATTATAGTCATTTCAAACAAAACATCTGCCTTTTGGTAAAAGCCACATAAGTAGTCACTACCATGAAATAAACAAAGGTAACGAAACGAAGTTCGCTTGCCGCTGCTAAGCTTGTCTTATGTATAAGTTTCAAATTTGGATACAGTGACCTTACCTGACAAATGGAAAGAATAAGTGAACGATTGTTCATAACATAGAATACACAGCCTAAATGTAAAAGCTTTCATTTGTCCAAGCATTTCGACCCCGTGAAATAGGACAAGGATACTGTTTTGCCGGATGACTGATATGCGCCTCAATAGTTGTCCAGTTTGCTTCATTAATCATCACATACAACCTTACCACAAATAAAAGTGCTGAGTTTAGTTTTGAGAAATGAGAAATGCTGATTAGGAATAGTAACTAGACTAGGAGCATTTCAGTTCAACAACAAGTAATTTTAGTGAAATTATTGAAGACTGCTGTATTATTGTACTATTATCCGTAACTCATGCCAATTTTATCCCTTTTTCGAAGTACCAACTATTACACATTCACTGTGAATAGCAGTTGACAAAAGCCGTTGGCAGGTCCACACAAAATCAATATATGTACAGAACCTTGAGATTAGACTGATTTTCGAAAGTAAACGTTATTCTGCGTACACCGTTTAACTATACAAGCACATATTTGCGCAAGCTGATGCGATTCCAGATGAAAACAAGCGTGTCATTATCATCTGTTTACCCGAATATCCATGAAAGTCTGGAGCCAATCCATTTCAAGTCAAGTGCAAGAAAAATTGATGGAACAAAGTCGAAAGTAGATAGATGATAGATAGATGACTATACTGTGAAAAATCTACTCAACTTTTCAAATAAACGTCGATGGACTAATTATTTTTCTTTAGTGTATCTAGCCGGAGTACCTTAGGCGCGTTTGCAATATCTTACCTTGTGTTATCATGATACGCTGCACGTCTATCAGATTTGGAGTACCAATTAGGTGTCTAGACGTACAATGGTAGTGTGCATTTAAAGGTGAGGGACGAAACCGTATTTTCTCTCCACCATACATTCCAAGAGGCAACCGATGTCATACGCAACCAGCATTTTGTCACCAAGCCATTCATAAAATGTTGCCATTTAGGGTTGGTTTTCCCAATTTTATTTGCAACAAGGTCACATCACTTGGAGAGGTCTGTATGCGTTTTTGTGAATTTGTTGTCGGCTACTTTTATTTTGACCCTTACTACTCATTTTCTCATACATTGTATCTGTCGTGAGGTTTTCAGCGATATGCGAATTTTCGGTCACTGGATTTTACTATACGACGATCAGATAACGTAAGAACAAATTGGCAACCTGTTAAAAGCACTAACAAGGCAATATTAGGGCAGCGTGAAGGCCAGATGACGAATAGCGTGATGACACTTAATTTATAAAAAAAAATCAACATTTTCTATTTAATCCGATCATACAATGTGTACTTTACACTTGACAGGAAGAACAAGACAGTAGTGAGTAAAAATAACTGCAACAGACTCACCTCAGGAACCATGCGTAAATTGTCCTAGACAAATAGGAAGCATGCTGCTCCGGTGATGGAATCTGTAACAATAGATAGTCGCAATTTCAAAGTAAGCAGACATGCAATCGGATAGGTGTCGTTAATGCAATTACTCTTTATTGAACAAACATTATCAAATGAAGAATCGGTTCCCTCAAATGAAGACGGGCCTCCTATGCTTTATTCATATCTTTCTCACTCCTGCCTAGTTACTCATTCTCACCAAACTCACTATCACCTTTCACGACTTAGCGAGGTAATAATCTGCAGTGATCTATCAACATCCGGTGTTAAAAGCAGGCCGGTTTGACGCAATGATGTGTAATAACATTATCTTGGATAGGTTTTCGCGGTTTGCTGTTTTGCCGAGATTAGTAACAATCAAAGCTGACTAAAATTAGTCGGTTGACGATAGTTCCAGGAGAGTAGGAAGTCAGCTATACGAATTGCAAGAAACATCAAATGTAGTCGGATGAAGAAACGATAACATCGAACACAAAAGGAAACAGATTTGAAGATCTCAGTTCACTGCAGATAAAATTATGACGCTCATAAGAAATCACAATACACAACCAGGATCCATGAAACAATAACTAGTTATATTTTGACCAACCTGTAAATCCTGTACGCTGTCCGATCCAGTTACAGGTCGATCACACTCGGAGTCATCTGACTTTTGAAGAACATCTTCAAATGATTTCGAATGAACTTTTCTCATAACCTTCGGAAAACCACACAGTCTCTGGAACTTATGACGATATTTCCTCTCATACTGAAACATCCTTTCGGAGAAACATGCCATTACAAGGAGAGATGCACTGCCAACAAGGTTCACTGCATCTGTGACCTGAATGACACGTCGAATAGATAACTGGCTCATTTCGTCCACGGAAATACGAGGGGATGAAAAATCAGTGCTCGAGGTTCCATTGTTAAAATCCTTTCAAAAAGAGAAATAAACAAAGCATTCTTGGAGCCAACATTGAATCATATTTCTCAGTAACACCTTGTTCCAGTGCACCACTCCATATAATAAAAACACTATTTATCAGCAAGATAAGCCATAAGAGATCACTTTCAAAGAAGTTTAGAAATTGGGCCAAAAGGAGTCATCATACACCGCCACAAGACGAAGTATGGCATGAAATCAAATTCAATCTTTCACCACTCTCTCATAAAAACTCGTCAAATTGCAAATATTCCGAGATAGCTATAACCCTTGAAGCTGGTGTTTGTATGAACGAGGCTAGATACCTACAACAAGCTTAAGAAGATGGTTTCGCTATACTGTGAACAACAAAAATTTCATCAGCTTCTCGATGGTTAAGTGAGCAGTAAGCCTGCGTTCTACCAATTAGGTGACCGGTGTGATCCCCAGTTTAATCAATAACTTCGCACCCAACAAAATTTAAACACGACAGTACTTAACATTTTTTTCAATTCACGTTTCCGTTGCATCCTATACAGCGAAATTCATCATTAAAGTATATTACTGCTATAGAAATAAGCGTCTGAAATAGCCTCTGCTGAGGAAGCTCTACTCACTGTCTTCCAATGACGGAGGTGTTTTCACACAAAATTGAGAAGACGCAAAGCCAACATTCGGGGCTATAGACGGGTCGGTGAACTACTGGCAGTTCACCTAGGGGAGATAGCTAAAACCCTGATTCCAACCCCAACAAGAAGAGGCGTAGGAACCACAAACATCCACGTCTTCCTGGCT